TGTGGATCTGCTTGTAGGATCAGTGTGTTCTGTCTCCTAGGTAAAATCACAGGGTATTGTATAAGCATATTCATTAGGTAAGGCCACCAAGCTTGTGTTGGCCAATATGGAACAATAATCAAGCCTGTGGCTTGGTCCTTCTTTACTTTTTGAAGAACTTGGTGAATAATGCAGAAAGGAGGGAAGCATAAATTTTATACATTCTCCATGACAAATGAAAAGCATCAATTGCATATGCTTCTGGGTCTGGTGTGTAAGCAACATTAAGGGCTTAACCTGGTAATTAAGCCTAGAAGCAAACAAGTCAATATTAGGAGAAAACCCCAATTGTGAAACTACGGCATTAAAAATGTCCTTGTTAAGAGACCATTCCGTTTCTCGTCGAGATGCACGAGATTCTCTATCAGCCGCAGTGTTTTGTTTCCCTGGAATATGTGCCAATATGTGCTATATGACACCATTCCCAGATTTTTGCCACTAATGTATTATTTGCTTTAGAGTGACAAGTGCCATGGATGTTGTTGATAGAAAACACAGCCGTAGTGTTATCAACTAGCAGTTTTACATATTTTCAGGCAACTGCAGAGGAAAAATATTGCAATGCCAAGAAAACTGCTAGGATTTCTAACTAATTTATGTCCTTTGCCCTTTCATCAGGTGTCCAGTTCCCACCTGTTGTTGTGGTGTCTATACAGGCCCCCCATCCAGTCAAAGATGCATCGGTAGATATAGCGACTTCAACCTCCCCATGGTTTATTGGGTTATAGGCCTCTGGTAGGGATGTTATCCACCATTTTACATCTGTTGTAGATTCCTGTGATATAGACATTTTCCCCTCAAAATTCCCTTGGAAAAGTGGGCCAAACATTACCCCTGGGAAACTAGAAGTCATAATTCCAAGCACCTGGGCTACCTCTCGGATGGTGGGACAAGCATTTTGAAGCAATTTTTGGCAAGCCTCAATTAATTTTTTGAGTCCTTTCAGGCGTCAATGACACACACATCTTTAAGGAGTCAAGGACAAAGCCTAAAAACACAATTCGTTGTGTAGGAATAAGTAGACTTCTCTGGGTGCATGGATTGGCATCTTTTAAATCTATGGAAGCCATATAGCATCCAGGGTCATTGACCTTATTGCAGACCAGACAGTCTCCATTTTAAAATGGTAATAGGTAATAAACTTGTTAAGTGATTTTAAATTCAAGATCATTCGAAGAGTGCCATCCATTTTTGGACGGGTAAAAATTGGAGAGACAAAATCTCCCTCTTCGCGTGTGCATGACACAATAACACCCTTGTTAAGGAGTTTTCCAATTTCATGGTCTACCAGTTTGGTTTGTGTCTCTGTGAATTTTACATTCATCAAAGTTTTCGACTGTACAGGAATTTTAGAGAATTCAATTCTCTGACCAGTCAGTATCTCCATTATTTCTGGATCCGACGTTAAAGCTTGCCATTCTTTAACATAGGCAGCCAAGTTTCCCGCTTTAAACATTTTTACTTTATTTTCAAGATAAACTAGCAAGGAAGGTAGGAGTGTATTGTATGAGCTTACCTGCAATTCGGTCAAAATGTTGCTCATTGATTTTCCTGATTCCCCGGTTGATTGGACCGATATTGTTTGTATTTTCTCCTGTATTGGGGTTTGCCGCTCTGAGGCGGCTGTTTCCATAAAAAAGGCTTTTGTTGACCAGATCTGGCTGGTGCCTGTTGAGGCGAGAAATGGCGCCTTGGTGGATAATATTGGGAACCACTTGCCGTATTTTTTATTTTATTCGATGCCCGTATGTGGTTCAGTTGTGTTTGCAATTCGTCCCCGAAAAGCAAAGTGGTAACAGGCACATGGGAAGCACACAGTGTAGCATACTCCTTATTGAGTGTTGGACGAATAACATCACGTCTTCGTTGAGCCAAATCATAACTAATGTGGCCCATAATAGCAATGGCGTCCATATTCTTGCGAATAAG